GTACAGTGTGAGAGTTAACCCTTGAGGGCTCAGCCAATTGCTAGTTCATCATTTAGCAGTAAGGCATTCCCTGGGAAATATCCCACCCTCTGACTCCTCCACCTCAACCAAGCTTCACAATAATCATCACTGTGTACCAGTATTAAATTGTTTGTTTAAAATTTATACTGTGCGTATATATATATATAAATATATAATATAGTCTTTTGTCTAGGTGAAAAAAATTTCCCTGGAACCTAACCCCCTCATTTACATTAATTCTTATGGGGAAATTGGATTCGCTTAACATCATTTTGCTTAAAGTCGCATTTTTCAGGAATATAACGTTAAGTGAGGAGTTACTGTACCTAAGCCTATCATCAATTTCTCTTCCTAATGGAAACAATCCACAAGACCCTGAATATAAGCTAACCACCTGGGTCAAAAAGCAGTAACAATATCTTTACTCCTTTAACAACTTTCTGTCCTTTATGCTGTTCCTTCCCCAATGTATCCAGGAAGAGGACAGTCTTTCTGTGCATTTGTCATTACTAACAAGAATGTAATATTGTATTGCATTAGGCACACCGGAAATCTGTTCGACTAATCTGGGAATGGGGCAGCAAAACGTATGCAACATGAGTGTGTACTGCACTTATCACGGAGAGTTTGTAATGTTCAATGCATCTTCATGCAAGCCCCTTTCCCCTTCATTCCTAATGTCACATTCAACTGAAAACAAATCACATTGATTGAGGTCAAGCTGGTTGCTGTGATTGTGATCTTAAGAAGCTTAAAACCAAGCAAAAGTGCACAATAAACTTGCCAACAAGGTATGGGTTTGACCAGCTTTGCATGTACTCCGCAAGCAAAACAAAAACAAAAAACCCCCAAAAACCTCTATAGCCCCCAGTCCAATGTAAGAGAAGACAAGATAGCTCAGCTAGCTCCTCATAGTCAGCATGTGGACAAAAGTGTATTTCTACAGCTGTACGAGACCACAAGGAACCAGAGGCTAAAACTGGCCACTAGCAGGGCCGGCTCTAGGATTTTTGCCGCCCAAAGCAAAAAAAAATTTTAGCCGCCCCCCGTTCTTTAATTACCCCACCCCCAGCCCTGCCTCAATTCCACCCCTTCCCCAAATCCCCAGCCCTGCCTCA